GGAGCCCCTAGGGCAGGCGGGACCGGGCAGGGCACCATGACAGCGGGAGGGGGGCCCCTAGGGCAGGCTGGAGACCGGGCAGGGCATCATGACAGGGGGTGGGGGGCCCCAAGGACAAGGCACGGGGCGGAGGGGACACAGCAGCACAGTAAAGTGGGTTGCAGCATAAGTACTTGGACACACAGCACCAAACTATTAGGGGCACCAGAGCATAGGAATGGAAAGCCATGAAGTAGGGGGGCCTGAGGGACAGTTACCTCAGAGAGAGGCTCCAGAGAAAACTATAGCACAGGGGCACTAAATAACCATATGGCACCCTAGGGCCTCTTCTTAAGTGGAAGCACAGGCCCATGGTATATAGGCAGTCTAAGGCTATAGCATGTGGGGTTTACAGCACCCAAAATGGAGTGCTACCCCCACAGCACTATTGTACAGGATCCCTAGTGCTATGGGTCACCAGGAGGAAGCCAAAGAAAAGTCCAGGGGCAAGGGGCCAAAGCAAACAGTGCACTGTAAGACAATGAAACAACGAAAAATAGCAGAGACTTGGGAAAATATATTCTGTAGCTAGGAAGTAATAGTCTATTTAGAGACAAGGAACAGAACTGGCACAGAAGGTGGAGATGGGAAGAATTGCCCTTATTTCCACTTTCAAATTATTCATTATTTGTTTTACTCTAGCCTTAGGAGCCTTAGTCATAGACCAGGATCCCTGAGTGTTAGGCCCTTTGCAAATGCAGACCAAAAAGACAGTCCCTGACCCCCAAGGCTTACAGTCTACATCAGTGATACTCAGACAGAGGCTCGTGAGCCACAAGTGGCTCTTTAGTGTGTCTCCTGCGGCTCTTTGCAGCATGTGATATTAAAACAGTGTGATTTAATTATTAACCAATCTAAGTTGTTAACCACTCAGGGTGCTTTTACAATGTTATTAACCAATTGTAGTGGATAAAATAATAATACTTGGCCCTGGTCTACACTACGAGTTTAGGTCGAATATAGCAGCGTTAGGTCAGTTTAACCATGCACCCGTCCACACGATCAAGTCTGTTTTGTCGACTTAAAGGGCTCTTAAAATCGATTTCTGTACTCCTCTCTGGCGAGGGGTTTAGTGCTAAAATTGACCTCGCTGGGTTGAATTTGGGGTAGTCTGGATGCAATTTGATGGTATTGGCCTCCGGGAGCTATCCCAGAGTGCTCCATTGTGACCGCTCTGGACAGCACTCTCAACTCAGATGCACTGGCCAGGTAGACAGGAAAAGCCCCGCGAAATTTTGAATTTCATTTCCTGTTTGGCCAGCGTGGCGAGCTGATCAGCACAGGTGACCATGCAGTCCTACTGCACTGTCTGCTTCACCAGTGGAGAACCGCAATTACCATAAAGCTCCGCTCACTCCACTCCGCCAAGCTGTCAAAGCCCGGCAGCAGCAGCAGCTCGCTCAGCCAAACAGCGCGCCAGGTGCAGCTCAGCCCCAGCACACTGCCGCTGGGGAGCGCTCCGCCAGCCCAGCCCAGCGCCGCTCCCCGGCTCAGTCCCGCTCCTGCCCGTGGCGTGGGTTCTCGGGTCCTCTTTAGTAAATACATGGTAAAGGTAATAAAATTAGTTTTTTAAAATTATGTGTGTTCATCCATACAAGTTTTCTTTTCATAGAAAAGGATTCTGAAATGTCATTATCTGGTGAGAGGGAGAACAAAGTGTTTCAGTGGTAGGGGTTAGCTATTGGCTGCAAGCCAAAAGTACTGTGAATTCTATAGGCTGCTAAAAGGCTTTGGGTCCTCTGGGATTCTAAAATCTCAATCCATTACTTTAAAAAGCAACAGAGGGTCCTGGGGCACCTTTAAGACTAACAGAAGTATTGGGATCATAAGCTTTTGTGGGTAAGAACCTCACTTCTTCAGATGCAAGTAATGGAAATCTCCAGAGGCAGGTATAAATCAGTATGGAGATAACGAGGTTATACCTGCCTCTGGAGATTTCCATTACTTGCATCTGAAGAAGTGAGGTTCTTACCCACAAAAGCTTATGCTCTCAATACTTCTGTTAGTCTTAAAGGTGCCACAGGACCCTCTGTTGCTTTTTACAGATTCAGACTAACACGGCTACCCCTCTGATACTTGAATCCATTACTTTGTGATGTACTTTTCATTACTAAGATTCTCTCAGATTCTAAATATTCCCTATATACTAATGCAAAGATATCTTAAGAGAAAAATCACTATTTAGGAACAGAACCTATTGGTACCAATAAAAGAGTAAATAATCATAGAATATCAGGAGGTCATCTAGTCCAACCCGCTGCTCAAAGCAGGACCAATCCCCAGACAGATTTTTACCCAGTTCCCTAAATGGCCCCCTCAAGAATTGAACTCACAGCTCTGGGTTTAACAGGCCAATGCTCAAACCACTGAGCTATCCCTGCCCCCTAAGGCTAAGGTTTTGTCATGATTATTTTTAGTAGAATTATAGACTATCAGGCTTGGAAGGGACTTCAGGAGGTCATTTAGTCCAACCCCCTGCTCAAAGCAGGACAAAGTCATGGACAGGTCATGGTCAATAAACAAAAAATCACGGAAGCCCATGACCAGTTTCTGACTTTTACTAAAAATAATTGTGACAAAATGGGAAGGGGCGGGGGAGTCCAGCACCCACTGCTGCTGTGGCTCTGGGGTCCACAGGTGCCTGTGGGGGCTGAGAGTACTGAGGTTCCCCCCATGGCAGCTAGGAGCTAGAAGCTGCAAGGGGCCTCCCATTGTGGAGCTGCGGGGCTGGAGGCTGGGAGCTATGGGGGGGGGGCTTGCCACCTGCAGCAACTGAGAGCTACAGGGCCCCAATGGCTTAATGCTCCAGCCCTGCTGCCCCAGTGCTGAAGTGAAAATGTCACAGAGGTCTCTGGAAGTGATTAATTCAAACCATTGTTCAAAAAATGACAGTTTTTGTGATACTATTAACTTTTGTGGCGCAAAGCAAACTTTGATCCAGCTTAACTGGTATGTGGGAATTAAGCTGCATAGTTAGCTCCACAGTGTAGGGGCTATTGCTAGGGAAAAGATGGCATGACTGGAGTACTTCTGCACTCCAGTAATCCCCAGCTGCTGGAATGATCCCTGGTGGATAACTTCAGCTGGCACAATTTAGAGCAGCAATTTGTTTCTTGGGATCTGATTGGCAGCCTGAGGATCAGACTTACAGCCATCTTTATGGTCTTCCTACCTGAGCTCCTCTGAACACCAAACATCCAGTCCCAAGGATCAGCAACACAGCTTTGCAAGGTCTCCTGGCATCTTTGCATGCCTGAATATTTAGGAGATGGGGCTAGAGCAGATCAGGGAAGTGATTTGTTATGATCTGGGTAAAACCTTGTTGTGGGTTGAGTAAAAAGTCATTCAAACTGATGTGTGAACACACCCTTCATTCAAGATATTTGTAAGAGACACTTAAGGGGCCACACCTTAAAGAAGGACTAATAGAGTCTGCCCAGAAGCTAGCAGTTCTCTGTGAGCAGCGGATTCCACTGTGTATTGGGACCAGGGGTGTGTGTGTGAGAGAGAAAACAGAACACAGAAACGGAAAGCAGACACATAACAGAAAGTGAGGCAGAAACAAAAAGCAAGAAAGCCAAGCAGTAGCCTTTGAGCACAGTGTGTGACCCTGGAAACTCTAAAGAGAGCACTTCTGGGTTTGGTGTTGGGTAAAGAGGCTTCAGTCTGTAAGTTAAGAAACTGCTTCTTTTGTTCTTAGTTCCTCTTGTATTCAGAGAAGCAGGACTTAGTACAGGGGTCGGCAACATTCGGCACATGGCTCACCAGGGTAAGCACCCTGGCGGGCCGGGCCAGTTTTATTTACCTGCTGACGCGGCAGGTTCGCCGCCCCCATTGGCCCGGGACGGCGAACTGCGGCCAGTGGGGGCCGCGATCGGCCGAACCTGCCGCGTCAGCAGGTAAATAAAACTGGCCCGGCCCGCCAGGGTGCTTACCCTGGCGAGCCGCGTGCCGAACGTTGCCGACCCCTGACTTAGTACATCATTTTAATTAAGATTGCATCAAAGAAAAGACCAGACTCCATCAATTTTTATTTCCAGCTGGAACATCCCCAGCGCACCTATTTTTGACTAACTACTCAGATCAAAAAGGGGCAACACTGATGTTAGAAGTAGGATCCAGTTTCCAAGGAGAGAGATTGTGAGCTGGTATTCCTGTTGAACCAAGATGGAACTGTGATGCTTTGGGGGTCCACCCAGACCTGTAAGAGGTTCTGGCACCACCTGTCTAGTAACCCTAGGTGTGTGTGCTGTGCAGGTTTGACTTGGAGCCCTGACCCTAGCAACATACAGGATAGGGGCCTCACCCTGGCTTCCACCAACCTAGTTACTCCTTACAGAATGACACCAACAGCTCTTCCAGTCCCAAGTCTCCCCAAAACTAACATGACACCTTTGAGACACAGATTATGACACCAGTGTGTTGGGGCAATGAGTGTATCAGGCCTGATGTAAGTTGTGGTATGGTGTGCCCTCTGCTAGTTAGCACTGAGGGACTCCCTGGGTCACAGGAATATATAATAGAATTACTTGCAGAAATCAGAAATGGCCAGCAGGAATTAAAATGAGACCTAAAACTGGAGCTAGAGATTTTGCAAAAGGAATTAACACAGGACCTAAAACAA